AGTGAAATTCAAATCATATTCTTAATAATAATTTATACAATTTTTAATAGTAAAATTTTTTTTTTAACATGTATAAATTTTTACTTTATAAAAATTGTTTTTAACATTGAAAAGCACCAATACCATTATAGGTACAAGATTTTTATTTTCTTTGTGATATTCTATAACTATGTTGACAAAATAAATATGCTTATAGATTTTTTTTTCCTTTCTATGGTTGTACTTCTACATATCTTAAACTTTTAAATTGAGATTTCTATATCTTTACTAATTTTTTAGTTTTCTATTCACGTAATCTCTTATGTTTTATCATTCGTTTCTTTATTTTTCTTAATAAAAATAAGGCAAAGTTGGAGATGTATTGTGTGGATCAATTTTCTTTGGCATTAGTTTGATTTCTTAGTATAGGTTTGGTCATTTGGTTGTTAGGTTTCGTCTTTTGGTCGTGAGGATCTCGGTATGGATCCTCCATTGTATTTCACACTCGTATTCCACCTTTTTATCCCAAAAACGCATTCCAACATCGCATTTTAATATGTTTAATAAAATATTTCAGATGAAAAGAAAAACTAGAAATTTAATAATTTATCAATTTATAAAACTTTGACCATATAGAATTAGATTTAGAACAAATAGAAACCATGAAGTAACGTACAACGCACAAGACCGACCAATCTTATCTCTCAACTTGACTGTACCAGATTCTGATTCGTGAATTGCATGCACACATACATTTGTGTTCGAAATGGGGCTTTCGATTCTCGTATTGATCACGCTTTTACTCTCTTTCTTACTTTCTTTTATAATTCGTGGAGATAGTCAACAAGTCAACGTCGGCAAAACTCCAACAACATCATCTACGGACACGTGTAGGCTAGCTTCCGCTTTTTCACCGACACGTGTCGGTATTTTCACCCCGAACCAGAAGTAACTCTCCGTTCTCTGCAATAATGTCAAAGTGCCACACACTAGACAATCACACGACACCCATAACCATCGAATATCAAGAAAATAAAATAAAAATTAAACTTTAGTTTAATAATAATTCTTACCTTCTTTATCTCTCTTGCGTTTTCCCAATATTTCTACTTTAATTTTTGTTTTCTCTTTTGGTTTGGAGAATTATAAAAAGGTTTTGCAGATTCTCTGATCAGAGATTGGGTTATGAGGTACGGAAATCGTGTAAAAAAGGTTTCTTTTTCTGCTTACTTATTCAAGAATTAAAAGTAAGTTAAATTGTTTCTGGTTATTCTGTTCCTCCATTTAAATGGTGCGATTTGTACAATTTTACTGTTTTCTTTTACTTTCTTTTCCACTTTTTAAAAATAATTGATTTACTACTCTTGAGGGACCCTTTTGTTGTCATTGAATTCACTAGCTGGTTTTTTTTAACTC